CTTCCTTAGATATGCTTGCGTACCAGAAAATCTCTTGTTTTTGTTGCTTTCAGAAGTGACAAAGGTGAGAAGAAATCTTTTCAATGAAGAAACTCTACCTCTGGGGAAAAGTTCTCTACCAAAGATGGCTCGGAGCCAGTCAGTTTCCATTTTAGAAGATCAAAAACATAAACGCAGCAGATCTAAGGAAGATATTAGAGGTAAGGGAATAATGGATAGAATACTTAAGAGGCTTGAATAAAGGTCATGAATGACTTTTTATTTACAACTAGCTGATAACCCGAAGTTGTCTGGTATTTATTTATAAGGGGGAAATGTCCGGACCAAACGTAATTTCTAATGTTGGATTTTCCCCCTTACCAAAGGGAGCCCCTTGTGGAGGAATGTGAAGCCGTTACCATGGCAACTCCACTGCGCTGTACAGTAGAAGCCATTTTAAGGCACAATAGGCTGTATCTAAAAGATGATGACTTGCTGTTTATATGTACACTGTGAGCTTATGCACTGGAGATAAATTCCTTGTGTGCCCAATCACCCTTGGCCAATAAAGAATTCCTGTTATTCTATTCTCTTCCTATTCTATTCTGATATGGAATTTCTTTTCACAGCAATATATTCCCTACATCTGATAAAGTGGAGTTCATCCACTATAGCTTATAGGAAAAAAGGTGATTGTGTTCAAGATGCTACAAGTGTTTGTCCTGATAGCATGGAGTAGCAGCTGATTTCAATATAAATTCAGTCCTGAAAAAGAACTTCTGTCCTTGCTTGCTTCCCAAGCAGGAAGCAAACAGATTGCTTGCTTAAGTATAATCTTATTTCTCTACACAACTTACTCTGTTTCAGCTCATCACAAGCTATTGACCAAAAGCGTGGCAGAAACCCCTTTGCACAAGCAGATGTCCAAGAGGCTGCTGCAGCGGCAGATTACAGGACGGTGAGTGAAAGCTTTGGATTCATTTAATAGCAATTTACCAATCATACTTTGGAATAAAGTCAAAATCTTCCTTTCTTTACTTCTACATGTCTTACTGCTCCACTAAGTCTCAAACATTCTTTTCTTCAAAGGTGTTCGGATCCTGGGTCTGATGTTGGCATTGTAGAAGAATCTCCTGAAAAAACCATAACCTGTAAGTACCAATTGACAGGCTATTTCTTTGCAAATCGAAGTGACTCGAGGATTGAGAGACGCTGGTTACATGAGTGCAATTAAAATTATCTTCATAGCAGAGCAAGAAGGGGAAGCGTTCCTTATGAATCTCTAACCTCAAATTCCTCAACAGAAACCTGAGAAATAGCAATAGCACTTATACTTATATACCGCTTCACAGTGCTTTACATTCCTCTCTAAGCGGTTTACAGAGTCAAACCTATTGCCCCCAACAATCTGGGTCCTCATTTTGCAGACCACAAAAGGATGGAAGGCTGAGTAAACCTTGAGCCAGTCAGGATCGAACTGCTGGCAGTTGGCAGTCAGCAGAATTAGCTTGCAATATTGTATTCTAACCACTGCGCCACCACGGCGCTTATGACTAAATTCTGGCTTTGGCCAA